AGCATGGGGACTGTCGGCGAGCGAGTGGCGGGTGGGGGGCGAGTGTGACACGGCGGAGTTCATAACCTGCGATGACAACGGACTTGTCACTGACATGTACGCAAGGAGGAGGGGAATGGGGGGGATGGGAGGACAGCATAGTGGGTGGGTGGAGGTTGGTGGGGGGGAGAGGGTGCGGTGGGCCACAGAAGCCATTGACATGCTGTCAGTGTGCCGTGCCTGTGTTTCACTCTTCTGCTGCTTTCGTTTCGTGCCTTTCTGTGTGTGCGTGCGTACGTGCGTGCGCTCGCCCGCGCGCGCGCGCACGTGTGTTCATGTGTGCATGTGTGCATGTGCATGTGTGCGTGTGCATGTGTGCGTGTGCATGTGTGCATGTGTGCATATTCATGTGTGCATGTATGTATGTGTGCATATTTATGTGTGCATATTTATGTGTGCATGTATGCATGTATGTATGCATGTATGTATGCATGTATGTATGCATGTATGTATGCATGTATGTATGCAATGTATGCATGTATGTATGCATGTATGTATGCAATGTATGCATGTATGTATGCATGTATGTATGCAATGTATGCATGTATGTATGCATGTATGTATGCATGTGTGCATGCGTGCACTCAACAAGGCAACAGGCAGCTGGAAAGCAGAGGTCTATCGGGATCCATCCCAACAGCTCTTGGCACCCTCACCTCTCTCACCTCTCTGTACGCCTGTCTCACTGCTCTGTACGCCTGCCTCACCGCTCTGCACGCCTGCCTCACCGCTCTGCACGCCTGCCTCACTGTTCTGCACTCCTCTCTCACCACTCTGTACGGCTGCCTCACTGCCCTGTACTCCTGTCTCACGTCACAACTCTGTACGCCTGTCCCATTGCTCCGAACGCCTGACCGCTCTGTATGGGGCACTCTTCACCATCTGCTTCTTAACTGTCGTGTCTCACCCACCCCATCCTCACTCGCTGCCCCTTTCTTCCCTTTCTGTGCTTTGCTGCAACTTTTGCTGCAACCTGTCCTGTGACCTGTCCACCCACATACCCCTTTTCCCCTCACATGTCTCACCTTGTGCCCATCCATGATTCTGTGTGTTGTGCTGCCACGTGCATAGAATCCTAAGCTACAACTCTCTGGAAGGCCCGATACCGGATTCCTTCAGCGCACTTGCAACGCTCGTGCACCTGTGAGAATGTGCAGACACGAGTGACGAGTACGGAGGGAGGTATTCGCCCTTGTTTGACCTGGTGCTCGGGGTCGGGGCTTGTTCACTCACCGGCACCGTGCGGTGCACTGCAGTGCACACATGTATCGCGGCTGTCTCATTCTTCTGCCTTCCTCACCTTGGCCTGCATCCAGGAGCTCTATCCCGCTCTCCCTCGTTCTCCCATTTCACTTCTAACCGTGCCTTCCCACCCCCTCCCTCTCAAGATCCTCTTTATCCCTCCCTCCATCTCTCCTCCCTCCTCTCTCCTCTCTCCTCTCTCCATCTTGCGCTCGTTGAATGGCAGTGATCTGCAGTCCAACGCGCTGGGCGAGGCCATTCCGGATGCCATCTCACACATGACCGCACTCGCAGGCCTGTGCGTGCACCATTCAATTGCATGCTTTCTTCACCTCGTCACCTCGTCTCATTTCACTTCACACCATCATCACCCCCCATGTCGATCGCATGGCTCATGGCATGAATGGTTACGGCATGGTTGCATCTCTCCCTCTGCATCCCCTCCATTTGCTCTCATTGTGTTCCGCCATGTGCCTTCACAGCGCACCCCTGCAGATTCAGCAATCCACATCCTCATTTCACTCCCATGCCTCCCTCCCTCACTTACACACCGTCATCACACCTCATGTGTGAATAAAGTATTAAGTTCCTCCACGGCCCTTCAACAGCTCTTACTGTGCTGGTAATTGCCAACCAAGCAGCCATAGACGTCCCAGCATCCCGTAGGCTTCACTTGGTGGAAGGGCATTGTTGCCTTTTAGTGCGCCTGCCTTGGCCCTCAGGGTAGATAGCGATTGGGCTGGACTTGCTTGTGTGCTCTTCCGTGATCTTGCCTTCTCCTTCTCTTCTCCAACCCCCCTGCATCTCATGTTGTCTCCCTGTGCGGACATGTGATCAATCACTCCCCTCTGCAGCTACCTCTCAAGCAACATGCTCACAGACAGCATTCCCACGGGAATGGGAAGCTTGGTGATGCTTGAGTACCTGTGAGTGCCATGACCCTCCCCCCACTTCTGTTGCCTGTCAGTGCCATGACCATCCCATTCACTTCCGTTGCCTGTCAGTGCCATAAGCCTCTCACTCACTCCTAGTGCACGCCGCTCCACACACACCGCACTCTGCTGCAACTATCCACTCCACTCGCACATTCTTGATGCGGCAGGCATGCACGCGTATGCTCTCGCATGCCCCATGCTGTCACATTCTTCGTCCCCTCCACGCCTCGCATACGCCCTCTCTCACATCTTCTGCTCTCACATCTCCTGCTCTCACATCTCCTGCTCTCACATCCACTGCTCTGTACTTCTTTGTCCTCCTTCAACCTGCAAATCACCTTGGTCCTCCCAATCACCTTGTGTGTCCATGCGCCCATCACAGCTACCTGGATTACAACAAGCTCGGAAGCTCCATCCCTGACGCCCTCAGTACCCTCACCAACCTGCTCCACCTGTCAGCCACGTTGCATTTCACACCCTCCCTAATCGCACCCTGTTCCTGCCCTTCCCTCGGGCTCACGTCACAATCGTGCATCCCTCTCCCTACATCCCTCTCTCTGCATTTTTTCTCCCTGCATTGCTCTCCCTCCTGCAACCATTCATGTATAGCGAGAATCAACCGCCTGGCACCTTTCTTTCATACATTCTTTCACTCAAGCGAGAGTTAATTTCTGTGCTTGCACATCGCTCTCCTTCCCCCACATTGCATTCAGCACCCATCTCCAGCTGATTTTCAGGCCTAACTTTGTTATGCAGCCAACCTTTGTCTGTTTCTGCGGCGCCTCAAGATTAGACACAGCGAGTGTGTGGCTGCCTTCACTTTACTCACCCCATGCTGCATGATGCATACTGCATGCTGCATGCTGCATGTTGCATGCTGCATGCTGCATGGTGTATGTTGCATGCTGCATACTGCATGGTGCATGCTGCATGCTGCATGGTGCATGCTGCATGCTGCATGGTGCATGGTGCATGTTGCGTGCTGCATGGTGCATGGTGCATGTTGCGTGCTGCATGGTGCATGGTGCATGTTGCATGCTGCATGCTGCATGGTGCATGGTGCATGCTGCATGCTGCATGCTGCATGGTGCTTGTTGCATGCTACATGCTGCATGGTGCTTGTTACGTGCTGCATGGTGCATGTTGCATGCTGCATGCTGCATGGTGGATGGTGCATGTTGCATGCTGCATGCTGCATGTTGCATGCTGCATGCTGCATGCTGCATGGTGCATGTTGCGTGCTGCATGCTGCATGGTGCATGTTGCATGCTGCATGGTGCATGCTGCATGGTGCATGTTGCATGTTGCATGCTACATGCTGCATGGTGCATGCTGCATGTTGCGAGCAGGTCGTTGGCCAGCAATGAGCTCGAGGGAACCATCCCTGCCTTCCTCTCTTCCTTCACAACACTCACCCATCTGTCAGTGTACCCACATACCCACCTGTCAGTGTGCCCACACACCCACCTGTCAGTGTACCCTCCCTCCCTCCCTCCCTCCCTCCCTCCCTCCCTCCCTCCCTCCCTCCCTCCCTCCCTCCCTCCCTCCCTCCCTCCCTCCCTCCCTCCATCTCTCGCTTCCTCCCTCACTCCCTGCATCCTTCTCATCCTCCATCCATGTGCTGATTCCTGCCATTCTTCATCTCTCCTCCCACCAGCGCACTCCAAAACAACCAGCTCTCCGGCTCTATTCCTGCTGACATTGGCAACTGCGTTGCTTTAGAGACACTGTGAGAACCGCACTGCTCTTCCTCTCTTCCTCCCTTCCTCCCTTTCTACTTCCCTCCTTTACCTCCTTATTCCCTCCTGTCACCTCCAGCTGGCTACTGCAATCCATTTTCCATGTTCCGTCCGTGTCCTTCCTCTCACCATTCCCCCCCATGCTAGTGGCACCCACACACATGCCCTCACTGTTTACTCACTTCACCTGGAGAGATTGTGAGATAGGTGGTTACCGCATCGCCTATCCTCATACAAAATTTTGAGAAATTTCAGAAACCTCGAGACCATTGCGTGCATAGCCTCCTCTTGTCATGCTATTCTGAAAGAAGCTGTGCACGGATTTAATTGAGAAACACAATAGCTCATAATCGTCAGGCCATGCCATGGCACGTGCCGTGCCATGCCATGCCATGCCATGCCATGCCGTGCCATGCCATGCCGTGCCATGCCATGCCGTGCCATGCCATGCCGTGCCATGCCATGCCGTGCCATGCCGTGCCATGCCATGCCGTGCCGTTCACCCCATCCCACCTCACGAATCCAGCTACATGAACAACAACAAGCTTGAGGGGTCCATTCCAAGCACCATTGCTCTGCTGCAGCAGCTCGCATGGCTGTACGAATCAGAATTTAGCTGCTCAATCTTGCTTCCATGTTGCCATGCCCATGCCACGTTGCCATACCCATGCCACGTTGCCATACCCATGCCACGTTGCCATACCCATGCATTGTCGTCCTTTTCCTGGCTTCTGTCTCGCATCTCTTTTGCCCCTGCTTTATAATGAGCATGCATGCATGCGAGTCACTGTACATCCTGTACGTACCCTATCCGCAACATTCTTCATACACTTCCCGCACTCTCGCACACTGCTCTTTAGGTGCACGCCTCACCACACTCACCACCCGTCACCACACCTCACCACGCCTCACATTCATCAATTTCCTTCTGCCCATCTCACCAACGCCTGCTGCCCCTCTCTCTTCGCCCCATCTGCCCTCCAGTTGCCTTTCTTACAACTCTCTGACTGGCAACCTTGACGACCTTACCCCACTGACCAATCTAATGGGACTGTGTGTGAAACCACTCTTATTCTCCATCCACCCACCCATCTACTCTCCCACACACCTCTCTCCCTCCCCTCTCTCCTCAAGTCCCGCTCCTATTTTCATCCACAATTCCATTACTCAATCAGCCCCTCTCACACTCGCGCTCTCTCACCCTCCACCCTCTCGCTCTCCCACTGTCTCACTCCCCCACCCTCCCTTGTTCCACTTGCCAGTCCCTCCAGCTTCTAACCACTCTTGCACCCCTTATCCTGTGTCCGCTTTGTCAATGCCACTTGCACCTCTCCTCCCACCCAACTCTCCTTGCTCCCAGCTGATCCCCCCCCACTCTTCCCCACCATCTCTCCCCCCTTTCTTGCACTGCAATCATCTGCACCGCACACCACCTAGGGAGTTATCCAAAAACTCCTTCTCCGGCCCTCTCCCCACCACGCTGAGGGAACTCCCCCGTCTGGAAATACTGTGAGCTATGAGGGTCACCTAGTGTGCGTGATAGAGTCTATTTTTGAGGCACCTACATAAACGTCTGTGCGTGATAGAGAGTGTGATGCGCAGCCAGGTGCACCACACTGTCTCGTGCCAGCGTCCCCTCACTTACCTTTGCCACTTCCTCCCCTCACTTGGTGGCCTCTGTTGCCCCTTTCACCTGGTCACTGAACCGCTCTCTCGTTCCTTCCGCCTGCCATGCTTCCTGTGCCAGGATGCTAGACGGCAACGCATTGGAGTCTCCTATCCCGACAAGCTTGAGTGGACTGAAGGCGTTGAAGCGCATGTGAGTCGTGCTCTACTTTGCTTCGGTACTTGATGCCACGGTTACGGCACACGACGGCAAGAAGGGAGACACCAGTCATGAGACACGCTAGCTGTCACCTGTGGGCGGTGCAGTGCAGGCATGCCCACCGACCTCTCTAGTGTGGTCGTGCACGCTTGCTTTAAGTGTGCTTGCAGCATGGGTGTGCAAGGGAGCAGTGGTCAGCAGGATAGCTGGTTGTTGAGTAATCTCGTGAGCCCATCTAGTGTGTCATGAAACAAATGGACGGACTTGGGCGAGTTAGTGCAAGTTGCACCCACTACGATACCCTTTGCTTCGTGTATGAGTAGGGTAATTGGAAGAGATGCAGTTGTGTGAACATGAGAAGGAAAGAGAAGGAAGCAGTATCGATCGGTAAGGTGCTTTAGAGTAAACCAGCATCTATTCCAAGGCTGGGGGATTCTAGCATGGGAGCCCCTTCTATTAGTTCCAAATTCACTACCACAAGGATTTGCGTGGAAGAGCAACCCAGTGCGGGTTATGAGTCCACGTCTCTTCAACTCACTCATCCCACGATCTCTTTTGCTCTCCCTTTGTTTCCCATTCCCCCCATTTCCTTCATCCTTTTCTATCGGCCATGCCCAGGGATGTGAGCAAGAACAAGTTCTCAGAGAACTTTCCAACTGTCCTCACCCGGATGACACGAGTGGAGCACATGTGAGCATATGAGTGCATGTGAGCACATGAGTGCATGTGAGCACACGACGAGTGCATGTGAGCACACGACGAGTGCATGTGAGCACACGACGAGTGCATGTGAGCACACGACGAGTGCATGTGAGCACACGAGTGCATGTGAGCACACGACGAGTGCATGTGAGCACACGACGAGTGCATGTGAGCACACGAGTGCATGTGAGCACACGACGAGTGCATGTGAGCACACGAGTGCATGTGAGCACACGACGAGTGCATGTGAGCACACGAGTGCATGTGAGCACACGAGTGCATGTGAGCACACGACGAGTGCATGTGAGCACACGAGTGCATGTGAGCACACGACGAGTGCATGTGAGCACACGACGAGTGCATGTGAGCACACGACGAGTGCATGTGAGCACACGAGTGCATGGGAGCACACGAGTGCATGGGAGCACATGAGTGTATGTGAGCACCCAGGTCCATGTGAGCTCATGAGTGCGTGCGACGTTTGAGCTCGTGGCTACTTGTTTTGCAGCTTGTTGGGGCTGCGTGTGTGCATGTGAGATTGAGAATGGATGGGCATGCTGCTCCATTTCTGAAATCAACAGGGCTTGATGCTTCTGCAGGATACCCACAACAAGCACCCACATGCACAGCTAGCGTCTGTCTATGCGCACCCGAATTTCCACCTCACCTCCTCCTCTTCCCCACCATCCATCTCCAAAGGAGGGTGACTGTTGAGGCTTCCCATATCACCTCCCTTTTCCTCCCATCTCCTCCCCTCTCCCCCACCTCAACCATCTTCACAGGAAGCTGAGCAACAATAACTTCACAGGCAGCATCCCTGCCTCCATCAGCTCTCTTGCTTCCCTCACCTACCTGTACGCTTCCCTCCTACTCACACACCTGTTCACCTCACTCGCTCATGCCGCTGCGCGTCTCACTCGAGACAAGAGTGCGGTCTTACACTTTGCTCATGTTGAGTGAGAGCCTCACAGGCAATACACGGGTACTCTCCATACCCTCATGCTGTGTGGTGCCAATGCTACGTACTGATTACCCTTGCCCCTGTGTTGAATCTTCCGGTGGTTGCAATGCACCAAATGTTTACTTGGCCTTATTCCCCTTTCCTCTCTCCCTCACCCACAAATCTCGGATCCTCCAGCGACCTGGGCTACACATTGCTGGACGGCACTATCCCCACTGCCATCACCAAAATGCGACGCCTGTCTCGCCTGTAATCTTGACTCTGAACCATTCTAGTGGGACCTTCTATGTGTGCCGGGAACAAGGTGCACGTGTAGCATGTGCTCGCTGCTTTGCATCTCAAAACTCCACATGCATCTTTCTTTCTTTTCTGGTTTTGAGAATTCCCACGAGCGACTTCAATTGAGCATCGAAGCCAGTCCTACCAACCCTGTTGTTGACCCCTTATTCTCATCATAATTCGTGTTCATGCCTCTCACCCTTTGCCATCATAACGCTCTCGTTCATGCCTCTTGTGTCGTCCTCTTCTCGTGCTAATCCCACCTCCATCTCCCCTGTAAAAGCCACCATCCTCTCATTGTCTGTTGCGTCATTGCTCCACCAAGTCACCATGCCACAATGCCACTATGCCACAATGCCACTATGCCACCAAGCCACCATGCCACCAAGCCACCATCCCACCAAGCCACCATGCCACCATGCCACCATGCCACAATGCTATCATGCATTATCACACACACTGTGCATGCCACGATCCCTGGTCAACCCTCACCCAGTGACCTGCAAGTACCAACACTCACGGGCTCCATCCCGGCCTCCATGGGCGCCATGCTCAATCTGCAGTACCTGTCAGCCGCCCCTCTCTTCCTCCCCTTCCTCTCCAACCCTCTTTTCCACATCTCGTTTGCACACCTGGCCTCTAGTCCTCGATAGGGCCCGACATTGAAAGTCCTCCTCTTGTGCTTGCCCTTTTTCCCTCACTGCCTAACTGCACCGAACTTCCGCTGCTGCTCCTCTTGGGCATCCTTCCACTGCTTTACCCCTCCTTGCCTTTTCATTTTTTTGATTTCGAGAAAAAAAAAAAAAAAAAAAAAAAAAACACACACACACACACACACACACACACCTCATAGCCCCAAACCTCGCGTCACTGTCTTTCCCCCTAACCCCCCACCGTTCCTTTTTCCTCCTCCTGCTCGCTCTTCCCTGGCTGTTCTCACACAGCTATGTCAACTACGAGGCAACGCCATGTGGTTACGACGGCAAGTGCGAGGTGGAGCAGTACTCTGGCACAGCCTTCTGCCGCGCCTGCACTGACTTCTGCGACACATGCTTCCGCAAGGGTGAGGAGGAGGGTAATGTGAAGCTCTGAGTTATGATGTTGCACTCATATATCACCTTCTTGTGATGTCAACGGTGCAGTTGAGAGGGTGAGAGGAATCACTGCTGTGCATTCTTGATCATAGAGAGTTTTGATATTGCACTCAAGTGTCATCTCGTTACAATGTCAACCGTTTGTTTGGGAGAGTGAGGAGGAGGGCACAGGGGAAGCATGGGGGAGGAGCACCGGAAAGGAGGTGAGGAGGAAGAATAGCCGGAATGTGGGGATGTGAGAGTGTTTCAGAGAATGAGCGAGTGTGGAGGAGAGGGCATGGAGGGTGAGTGCAGGGTAGGATCCATGAAGCATGAACGCAAGTACACAGCAGTCCACTGCACCCGCCTGTCCCCTCTTCCATGCTCTGCCTCGCACAAACAGGCTCGCCTGTGTATGTGTGTGCTTGTCCGTGCACGTGCTCATGCGGGTGCTAGCATGGGGTGAGCGTGCAAGCATGTCAAGGCTGTCATGGGGTGAGCGTGCAAGCATGTCAAGGCTGTCATGGGATGAGCGTGCAAGCATGTCAAGGCTGTCATGGGGTGCAGTGTACTGGCTGTGCATGGGCGTGACTTGTGTGTACTACAACCACAAGAGCTACACACACACACACACACACACACCCGCACACGCACACACACACACACACACACACACAGACAGCCAGCTCCACACACATTGCATCACACCCACATCCTCTTCCCCTCCTCTGCCTTGCCAACAGGCCCCAACCCCAACCTGTGTCGGAAGAAGCGTCGTGCCTGCTCACACAAGTCCTGCCCGGGCCGCATCTGCATTCCCTTCGTCCGCAGCTGCAAGGGCTACAAGTGCATCTGATCTGATGCGAATTCATCTGCTTGCATATGCATGCTATGCATTCTCTTTCCCAGTTTTCTGTATTCCCCTAGAGAGAAACCCCTAATTGCTACGGTAGTAGTTTTTGTCTGGGTGGGAAGTTACCTAGTCGCTTGTTCTGGCCTGGGTGCATGTACCGTCATGTCCCGGATATACCCCCAGGTGGGGGTGTAATAAAGCAGGGAAAAATGCTGGGTGGGCTTATAATGTGGCAGATTTTATAACCCCATGGGGGAAATAAATGACCTTCTAGAAAATTGGTGTTGAGGACATAAAAATGTAGAGCTCGTGATGCCGGAAACGATAGCGAAGAGAACCAAAGAGGGTCAATGGCGAAAGTTCGAGAAAACGCCCACGGGGCAAGATTCATGCGCCACCGCATCTTGTGTGGCCAAATTCGGTCCAATCGGATCATGGTGATGCCAGCGGGCGGAGAATTGAGGTGTGCGGTGGGGGGGCAGGCCATGTTGTTTGAGCCCATGCCAACAAGGCAGGGTTTGAACAATGGCAGTCCAAAAGGGAGGGAATGCAGCAAAATTGCCTTCCTAGCCCCTTCGCAGTGGCACCTGGATCCTCTGCGGGTACTCTGTGGACGGTCCACAGGGGCTGGAAGAGGAACCCAGGCCGCCTTCTTGACAGGGGTCTTGAAGGGGGCCTCATAACCGTCTTTCATTCCAAGAATGCGTTCGTTCTTTCCCTCCGTAAGCCCTCGATAGAGCTCACGCCATGGCGGGACTGCCTGAGGCCCCCTAAGCCTGGTATTTGTCGTGGCACCCATGATGACCCTTGGCACCGCTCCTCGCATCCTGCGCCTCCAAATCCTCCTGCTCCGCCAGCCCCGCCTGCGCCACCGGCCCCACTTGCGCCACCTACTCCACCCTCACCTCCGGCTCCTGCCGTGTTGCGAACATACTTTCGGCCGGGCAGCTGAAGGATGTCAGAAACTATTGAGCAGGAATGATTGCATTGACATCAAACTGAGTACAAGTATCACCCTAATTGGGTTGTACCCCATATAGGCTACTCCACTACAGCCTATACAAGACAAGTAGCAATATAATTTGACACACCCCCATAGGCAAAGTGGGGGAGAACAAGGGGTCACAAGACCAGTCACGAAAAGCAAAGCAAGCTCAAGGTGGATCACGAAGTCACCGCACACTCTCAGCACAAGCAAATGGCCACAAGGCCAGTCTACATGCACTTATATAAAAGACAGCAAACAGTACAATGATCACTACCTAGCAAGAGTAAGCATGCAGGTATATATAGGTCATAGTACAAGCAAAGTCAAGCAGTGAGCAAGTGAGGCAAAACAGGCACAAGGCCCAACACAGTACAGAAGCACTGATGATCACAAGGCTGAAGTGCCTTGGTGAATATATCAGCAGTGTTGGCCCAAGTGGTCACATAAGCAAGACGAAGTTGACCACGCTGCTGCAACTCTCGAGCAAGGAACTAACACAGAGCGATGTGCTTCGTTCTGTGCTCCAGTCTGTGCTCCTGACACAAGGCAATTGCAGCCTTGTTGTCTACGTACAGAACTGGAGGAGAACGAGGCCGCTCTCCCAAGTCGGCTAGCAAGTAGGTGAGCCAGCGTACCTCTTGTGCAGCCATGGCTGTCGCGTAGATCTCAGCCTCACAACTGGAGCTCAGAACATAAGACGAGCGGGTAGACCGCCAAGAGACAGATCCGGAGCCAAGGCTGAACGAGTAACCCTGAGACGACTGTTGCGTAGTCAGGTCGTCAACCCACGAAGCGTCTGAGTGTCTAGTGAGGACAATTGGACCCCGCCCTCCAAGCACGAGCCCCATGCCCGATGTACTGCACAAGTAACGCATTACCCTCTTCGCAGCATCCTAGTGCACCTTTCGATGCCTACCAGGAGCCACGTAGTGTGCAAGAAGGCCAAGAGGTCAGGACGAGTGGAGGTCATCAGGTACATGAGGCAGCCCACTAGCTCTGGGTACGGGCCACTCGGCTCTACGGACTCGTCCGAAGATGGAGCTGAGAGTGAGTGACCGGTATCCAGAGGAGTGGACTATGGCGAGGACCAAGTGAAGCCGAAGCGCAGAAGGACCTGCTGCACCATGCGTGACTGAGTCAAGGTGATGGTGCGTCGTGCTCTGTCCCGGGTGAACTGCAAGCCAAGATAGCTGCGCAGCTCACCCAGGTCTGTGCATGTGTGTGTCTTCTGCAGTTCCGACTTCACAAGGGCGAGTGCCTCAATGTCAGTAGTGGCAAAAACCAAGTTGTCGTACAAGAGGATGTAGAACGGCAGCAGCGAAGTGTCGGTGCGCAGAAACAGCGACGGGTCTACAGTCAAAGGAGCAAACCCAAGAGCTAGAAGTGTCGTCCTTAGTGTGTCGTTCCACTCACGAGGCGCCTGGCGGAGACTGTAGACTGGCCGCCGGAGGCTCCACTGGGTACCTACAGGAAACGACCCAGTAAAGCCAAGTGGACGGCGCAACCAGATCTCCTCGTGCAGGCTGCCCTGTTGGAAAGCAGTGGTGAAGTCAAGAGAGTGAAGTTCGTAGTCACACTGAGCGGCAACGTGCAGCAGCACCCGAAGAGTGGTCATCTTCCGGGTAGGGGAGAGGGTCTGGAAGAAGTCACTAACAGCTGTAGCCAATCCCATCCAGCAGCACATCGCCACCGTCCAAGGTCGTCGCCAGCATCTTCACTGAAAACCCGAAATCGTCGCCACACTTTATCCAAATTTGTCGCACCTCGTCCCTTATTGCCAGCAGTGTCCTGTCCACTAGTCGTGTGTCAATCTCGGGCAGACACATGTCTAGCTTCACTCCGATTTTTTTGGTCGTTGCCTGGTTGACGAGATTGTGGCTCGCCCCACCTTCAACGAAAAGTTTAATTTTATATCCGTTAACCCTCCCCACGACCAGCACAGGGTGATCTACGTGTTCATCCACTTTATTCGTCCGGTTGCGGTCGATAGCCCGTATCGGTACCACTGCTCGGTGTGGATGGTGATTGCCGGGCGACGGGGTCTCGTCAGTAGGTGGCCCGACTACTACTGACTCGTCTCTTTTCCCGACCCCTCTCTGTCGTTCCTGTTTCCCTGTTTCAGCTTCGGGCAGTCCTTCTAGTGGCCCGGTTGGTTGCAGTTGAAGCACGTGTTAGGTCCACGTCTTGGCGCATCCACACTGTTGATTGTGGGCTGGCGAGGTGGTCCACGAAATTGAGTGCCCTCCCAGGAACTCATTCTCGCTCACTACATCAGCGCGTCCGTTGATTTGGCCATTTGGACGGCATCGAGGAAGCCGCGTGGCCTCGTTCGTCGCACCTCGTACTGTACTTCGTATTTGAGGCTTGCGATATATTGATCGAGCCGCTGTGCCTTGCTCATGTCTTTCACTTGGTCGGCCAAATTGCAGAACGTTGCCGTGTAGTCTTGGACCGATGTCACCTGCTTCCAGGTACGCAGCTTCATGCGAGCAGAATCCGAGGTGGATACATGCTCGAATCTGGTTCGCTGACTGAAGCCTCATGCAACATAACGATCCTTGAAGATAGGCGGAGAACCCGGCGGCCGCTTCACCCTGAAAATCCACATGCCATCGACTATGTTCGCCCCAGGAGGGGGAACTGCATCGACGTAGGTGCCTGTGGACTTCCAGGATGACATCTCTGCATCCATGGCTGTCTGCCACTAAGAGGAGTACTGACCCGCGATCGCCTCAGCGTAAGAGCGCAGGGTCGGGATGTCTGGTGCATCCAGGTCTCCCTCAGGGGTAAGCAGCATGGCCACGAGATGAGGTGCAGTGGCTGCAAGACACTCAAAGTCCTCCTGCCTGTCCTCAAGGACGTCCAAGCCAAGAGCACACTCACCCCTGACGGACGGAGGATAGACAGACTCAGACTCAGCAACAAGACTAGCGGCGTAGTCGAGACGACAAGCAGCAGCAATGTCAACAAGCTCAGCGACTAAGGCAGACGCAGCAGCAGATTCAAACGAAGGGTCAGTGATAGCAGTTGCTAAGAGATGCGTGACAGTAGGACGGGCAGCACAAACCTGGTCAGATTCAGGGTCCGGAACGTGCGGAAGAGAGGACGCAGGAGGAGACGGTAGAGGAACACGATGTGGAACAGAGGAAGGACGAAGTGCCATAGTGTGCGTGCTGGG